CTATTAGCTAACGTCACTCAATTGACAGATCCTAACTAAGACTGCCCCTTTTTCCTACCACACCATATGCACTCGCAATGCTTGTGTGCAGAACCCCAAACTTGAAAGCATGATATACGTGTCGGCATCATTGTTGACCCTGGCTCTAACCCATCAAACCAAACAGGCCTGCCCAAAGACTATAATAAAGCTAACAAAATAGAGCTGGTACTTCTGTAGATGCTTGTTGGAACTCACCTTGTTATGTCTTGCATATTTTCCATGCACCTGCATATAGAATTGAACGTAGACGAGGTGTTACACCCATCTCACCACTGCTATGAACATCACAAGTCGAGTTGAATGCTCACTGGGTGTAATAGACTACGCCACTATTTTAAAATCGCCCGAAAAAAAATTTGCAAAAAAAAAAAAAAAGTTTTTTTTTCCACCGTTAAATTCACATAGAAACGCCGGTTTTGAAGTCAACGCATCCAAAATCACACCAAATATACCTCCAATGCCAAAGAATTTTATGGAGCAAACGAGATGTCTATATCGTGTTTTCCTGATTTTATAGAATATTTTTAGTTTTATCAAGAAAAAATTCGGGAAATTCAAACAATTCTCAATTGTTGCCACATACACTATTTGAACACTGAAAATTACAGTGATGTAGTTCGTTTTCGTCTTGGGTGCCATTTGCCTCATGAATGAACTTGGGTAGAACTTTTCATATTTCCTGCATATAGAACTTTTGTGTGCAGGCAAGGATGGTGCGTAAGCCTGGTGTTAGCATCTAGAACTTGTCATTAAATGGACTTGCTTACGAATGGTGCCAAGAACAATGTGCTAACCACTTTGAACGATCTTGAACTCACAATCATCATACAAGCTTATGACTTAGACGAGGTGTTACACCTATATTATCGTTGCTTTAAGTATCAAGAGTCGCCTTCAATGTTCACTACGGTGCAGTGAACTACAAAAAGAACGCGAAGTAAGACTGATTGTTCATTGATTTCTCTTGCTCGCAGCTCGGGCTCTAAGCTTCGTCGAACGTGTCTCAACATAAGTGTACTGGTGAGATTGTTTTACCGGTCTGTTTAATTTATTCATGGCTTCTTGGTGATGTCAAAAAGACTTCGTTTATGACTATGATACAATCCGTATATATTTTGCCTATCAACCTATAACCCGTAGACCTTGCTGGCGTAGTTGTAGGCGATCAAACTAAACAAGGCCATGCCGGCGATGATGCCCCAGAACCAGGCCAACCCGTAGTACTCTTGCCCCGGGACCATGCAGTTCATCCCCCACAACCCTGTGACGACGTTCAAGGGAAGCACAATCGTTCCCAACACCGTCAACTTACCAAGCACGTCGTTGGTATCGTTATTGACCTTAGTCATATCGATATTGATCTGGGCTAAGTACGATGCGTGAGACCGCGCCAAGAGCTTTTCGTAATGGTTAAGTGCTTGAGTCATGGTGACGATGTGGTCCTGGATATCGCCTAAATACATCAGCACCTGCGAGTGGCCGCCGTGGGTCTCCTTAAACTTCATCAGGAACCCGCGAACGACATCGGCTTTAGCTCCCAATAACCGCAACACCAGCATCACCCGCTTGCGGCACTCGCCAATCCGCCGCATCATGTCTCCTTGGCGGCGCCATCTGATCACCCCCAGGTTCGTCAGTCTCAGCAGCGACAGCAGCAGCGAGTGCAGCACCAGCAGCGTCAGGAAGGGGGGCTGATGGATGTCGACGGTCAGCTTCAGCCGTTTGCGTGGCTTGAAGAAAATATTTTCCTGGATCTGGCTCAGGTTACGCCGCCACTTCACTCTCAAACCGGGGTCAAACGTGGCGAACTCGTCCTCGGAGTCGCTGTCGTCGGACTCAAGCAGCTGCATCTTGAAAATGGCGTCTTCGATGGCGTTAACTTCATCCTCAATCAGCTCGATCATGGGGGCGAAGGAGTCGGTGATGTCGTCGATCAAAGCGTAAGAGATCCAGTCACTCAGCACTTTAATGTGGTCCTTTAAGAGACGAGCCCGACGACGCACGTTGATGGGATGAGGCGTTTGTGACATGTGGAAGGTCAAAATGGCATTTTTGAACACCACCATGTACATGTTAAGCGGTACCAACTCTCCCAGACGTACTCGGCGTTGTGGGGTGTACAGGGTAATCAGATGCGTATCTTTGGATACGGTGGTCATCTTGCGGTTGCGCCACCATTTGATCGGGTGGAGCCACTTGCGTTGCTTTTCCTGTTCGGTCATGAGCTCCTTAAGCTTCTCCATTTTCTTCTCCTTCTCCTTTTCCCGCAAAATCCGGCGTTCGTACACCACATCAAACGACGTGAAACTGACAAAGTAGTAGTTGCGGAAAAGCTCAACTTTTTCTCTCCCCTCGCCGAGGAAAATGTCTTCCGTAGTCAACGGATGGATGTTGAACGTCTTTGAAAGCACTTTCATCTCTTCTTCAGTGGGGTCAAGAATATCGAGCCAAAACGGGGTTACTGCCAGGTCCTCAAACGGGACGTTGGTGAAGTTCTGCCCCTGGATATTGGTGCTTGAACCCCCGCCCAGCAACAGCGACAGCGTCGCTCCCAGGGCAAGAGCCCCAAAGGCGCCGCCGCTACCGCTAGCCCCGGTGCCACCGGCAGTGGACCCGTGCCGGTCGTGTCCACTATAGTAGCTGGGGACAAATAATTCCTTTAACCGAGTGCGAAGCGGGGTCAGAGAGTCGTCGCCAACCCCACCTCTCAGGAGCAAACCGGAAATGGTAGGGGAGTGGATCGTCTTCTCCTTATCCTCCCTGAAATAGGTGAACCGCATCGTCTCCTCCTTATTCTTCTTTTTCACCGAGGGCATCGGCTCCCATGGCTGGATCGGTTTGGGGGTAATACGAAGACTCAGTTGCGGCAGCCCCATCTGGTCCATCTGGTCGATCTCATTGACGCGGTAGTTCTTGAGTAAAGGGTCCAGTTCGCCAGTCTCGTTATCCTTAATGGTGGCAGGACCAAACAGCACCGCTTCTTCCTCCTTGGGTACAGGCACCGCGGGGGTAGAAGTCTTCGGCAGCGCTATCAGCTCGTTGACGTCGTCGACGATATCCTGGGTTTCTTCAAGGATATACTCCTCCAACTCGTCGATATCGGGCCATTGCTTTTCCGTGTCACTTTGGTAAAACACGTCGTCAACGTCGTCTTCGCCTTCCAGACACGGGTTCAGCTCGCCAAAGCCGTAGTCGCTCTCGTCGCCGTCGTAGGTCAGCAAGTGCTCTTCAAAGGGAGCCTGCCAGGTCTGCAGACGGAGGATATTCAGCTGTTCGCGGGCGTACTCGTCCATGTCCAACGCCACTGCCCCTCTCAGCGTGGGGCGCAGATACGACGGTCTCGGCGGGGTGTGGCGATCGTGGACGTGACGGTCGTGGTAGCTTGAGCCTCCTAAAGGGTTGTCTGAGGTGTGGCGCCGGCTAAGCCGACGGCTGTCATGGGACATCGGGTGGGAGACTCTGGGGTGTGTGGGGAATCGATTATTGTTGCGCTATGGGATCAGTCGCGCAAATCAAACAATAGCGCATTTTTCTGGTGGTGGCCGGAGTCGAACTCGAGGCACAAAATGGTGAATGGTCGACGATGACATTTTTCTGTCATTATGGTAACAAAGAGGAAGAACAAAAAGATAAATGAGGAAAAATGGTAGGGGGTATATATATGATAGGCCGAGACTTGAGCCCCCATGCCACCATTACCAACTAAAACACCGTCAATCACAGTGCTATGGTATACGATAGATTTAGTCTTCGTATACGACACCTGGCCAATAAGCGGCCGGGAGAAATTTTCATATCGCGTACATTGCTAAGTCAGAAAAAAAATTGTGAATTTGTCAGTGAAAACTCCATCAACACTACACTCGAATTGGCCCCCTGTCTTGGTTGCTGTTGACCCCTTGTCTAAGGTCCACGCGACCGGAACCTGCTGCCAAAGCCCCCTTGTGGCAGCGACGTCGAGGTCCGATGACGTCAGTGCGAAAACCCCCCTTACCCGACAAGCGTAAACGCCATGACAATAAACAATAGCCGTGTACGACCGGCAATACCGCCACCCGCCCCAAACCCCAGCGAGACACATACCCTAACCGCTATCAAGTCAGACAGCCTCTACTACTAAGACTTTACACTCTTGGAATCCCCCTATCTCTGGTTTCAGTCATCTTTTTCTTAACGTCCGAAAACTAGGTTCAGTGTCGGGAAGTTGACCCCTGAAACGGTACATCTAGCTGACGTTTACAGCCACGGCAAAGCAAACAGAACACCTCCGAGGAAAAGACGTTTGACGGATAACCACTTGCCGTGGTCCCCCCCCCCCCCCCCCCCCCCCAT